ACCATTCCTCAATTATTTCGCGCATTTGCTTACCGTTTTCAAATCTTTGCGCTGCTATAGCAACTTGTAAATCACGATGATTCAGCCCCCGTCGCGTATACTGAACAATAGAGGATTCACTTAGCTGAAAACGTTTGCCTAAGGCATAAACTTTAAAGCAGTAATCGGATATATGTTCACCTGTGTTACGTACTGATTCGCTCATAATGCGGTGCACTTGCGCTTCGTTGTAAGTTACACAAAATTCGTTTTTCAGTTCTGTTGCAAAATCATCCCAACCAGACATGAGCCACTCCTTTTAATCGACCGTAAACAGCCAATAAAACACGTCTAGTTGATAAGCACTCATGACACTCCCAACACGATCAATGAACTGCTAAACAGTTAGCGACTGCTTGTTAGTTGGATCAAACTCTGGAATCATGTCTGCTATTTCCTTAATTGACCGAAACCCGCCGTATGCGTTTGTAGAAATTGATGGCGTTACAGATTGACTCACACTTTCCTCTAATGGCTGATTATTCATAGGCGTCTGCATTACATTTACGTCAACTGTTTGTTGCTTGCTCTGTTGGAACATGCTGATAATAGTTTCCATCATACTACGCAGGTCATTGATTTGCTCCTGTAAACCAACATGCATTACCGTTGGAGCTTCAATTTCATCAGTATCGATTTTTTCTGTTAACCGCAATTCTAATTCCGCTCTCGTACCAGCTGTAGCTAACCCCTCTTCACGCAGTATAACTTTTAGTTAATCAATTTTTAATTCACTAATTTTCGGCATTGTTGATTTTGTTGACGTTAAACGTATTCGTAAGTATATTATTATTTAGTTTCGTTGTCAATATACATTAACAACTCGTTCGTTTTTTTCAATCGTTCAATCGTTTCTCCTTTTTTTTATCCGTTTCTCTAGTAATTCACAACTTCGTTAACATTTTATGATCTATTTTAATTTAGTTTTTGTTGTCGTTTTGTATACATTTTCTTATTCTTGCGCTTTTCAACTTTGTTTGCTTATTTGTCTCTTTTGCAGGCACTAATCACAATTGGGTTAACACGCAAAATATAATTACAAGAATTTCACAAAGCGCGCACAAAACATGTCTATTGGAGCGCTAGGGCTGCTGTACTTTTATACTTAAAACTTGTCCGTAAAATTTGTTCAACACACTTTTATTTATTATCCCATTTCTGAACTTTAAAATAAATGTTTCAAACACTTAATATTTGTTTATCATTTTATTTATGTGTTGACCTTTTAAATATCACAAAATATAAATGTATGTGTTGAACTATTAAATATTACAAAATAAAAATATAAACGAATGTTATACCGCGAGCGACTGCGTTCAACGTGCTGTCTCGTTGCGAGGTAAGCGACAATTACTTACTTTCATTGTTTCCCCTCAACACATGAGTAACCTACGAGACTAAACAAATTAATTTTTTATTAAATTCTTGTGAACAATTTTTTTTTGATTCTGTTACTATTGGCTATTCCTATTTTCTTTTACAATTTCCTTCTTATATTTTGGAGAAAGTTTAGTGCCTAATCTTTTGTTAATTTTTACAAAAACTTCTTGTCCAATGTCATAGTTCTTAAATGGAGTTCTATTTTTATTATGGAATGTAAGATCTGCTTTCTGTTTTTGCGTCAAATTTCTAATATTTTCTTTTCTATCCATTTCTAATCGTTTCGGATCAGTATTCACTCTTCTACCGAAGAATGCTTCGACCGGTTTTCTTTTCGTGGTTGAATGAATAGTGTAGTTGTACTTATAAACAGAATTATATAGCAAAATGATTTGTAGCCATTCTCCGCTTTCAAGCAACGCATGACTTTTGTCAGAGTGGAATGAAAACGTTCGACTTGCCCATTAGACGTACTAGTATATGGTGGCGTTCTGTAAATTTGGATGTTGAATTGGTTTTCTAACATGAACACTATAGACGATGAATTAAGTGATTTTTCGTTATCCATCACAAGTATTTCTGGAACACCAAAAGAAACCAGCATTTGCCGTAAAGGCTCTTTAATATCCTCCGCTGCTCTTGAATTAATAGTTCTAGCTTGCGTATACTTTGAAAATTTATCGATACCAGTAAGTACAACCTTTTTACCTGTAATGAAGATGTCAATATGAATAATTTGTCCGGCGAACTGTGGTATTGGAGTTTCCTGAATTAGTGTTCATACTTGTTTTCTCTGCAAATCCTACATTGTGAGGTTATTTTTTTTATTTTAGCTGCCATACGTGGAAAGTAAACGTTTTCTAGCAATTGTTTCTTATTTTTCCTATCATTTCGATGTGCTCTGGTGTGCTGTTTTATAATTTTCTTATCTTGGTGACTTTCACAGGTCAGGTCGATGACCATGTTTCTACTATATTGAACTCTGTACTTACTAAAGTGAGAGGAGTAGATTTCTTGAAGTTTGCCCAAGATTAGATCTTCTGTTTTAATGTAGTTAGTAACAGATGGATTAAGATATCGTCTTAATAGGTATGCAAGAATATTTGTTTACTTGCTTTATTATAACTGAATGCCTATGGTATGTGTGGTGAACAATTTGAAACTGATAAAAGGGAACTTCTCCTAAAGAGATGATTATTTGGTTCTTGAAACAATTTATAGGGGCTTCAGTATACGATATTAGGTTTTGTGAAGAGCTTTCATCGCTATGTTGCGTAACTGTCATGGAATTATTCTGTAAATTCTGTGGAATCCTTGACAAGGCGTCAGCTACCTTATTCGCTCTACCTGGCTTGTACTTTAGCTCGTAATTATACTCCTCTAAGATTGCTTTCCATCTTTTAAGCTTACTATTTGTATTTTCGTTACTCAGAGCGTAAGTCAACGGCTGATGATCCGTGAATATTTTGACAATTGCTGATCCATATAGGAAGTTTTTTAATGATTTTAGTGCCCATATAATGGCAAGCATTTCCTTCTCATTAGTGGCATAATGCTCTTTAGTTTTACTTAAAGTTCGTGAAATGAACATGATTGGCTTATCATTCTGAGCTAACACAGCTCCTATTGCGTGATTTGAAGCATCTGTTACCAATTGAAATTCTTTCCTAAAATCAGGATAAGTGAGCATATCATCCTGAGATGTTAGTGAACTTTTTAATTTATCGAATGATTCCATGGCTTTTTTATCAAGATATGTGTCCCTCTTCCCCTCTGAGAAGAATCGTCAGCGGTTTTGCTAACGTCGCATAAATTTTAATAAACCGTCGGTAACTTCCAGACATTCCAAGAAAAGATCGCAGATCTTTTACCGTTTTGGGATAAGGAAAGTTATTGATTGCGTTTACTTTAACTGGAGTTCTTATTCCATCGGAAGATATTAAAAATCCAAGAAACTCGACTTCCTGCTTTAGAAATTCACTTTTATCCTGCTGAACTTTCATATTTGCTGCTTGTGGAGTTTGAAAATTTTTTTTCATATTTTCAATGTGGGACTCTTCATCTTCGCCAAGAATAATTATGTCTTCCCAATATGTTCTCTTAATATGTCATCAAGAGTTCTTTGAAATATCGAAGGACCATTTTTTAAACCGAAAGGGAGTCGTGTAAACTCATATTTTCCGTGGTTAACAGAAAAAGCGGTTTTTTCTATGTCGGCCTCTTTTAATGGGATTTGATGAAATCCACTCTTGAAGTCAGTGACTGAAAAATATTTATTTTTTCCCAATTGGGCAAGTACATCATTAATTTGTGGAATGGGGTATCTATCTGAGACTGTAACGGAATTTAACTTCCTGTAATCGATAATCATTCTATATTTTTTCTTACCTGACGCATCTTGTTTTTTTGGGACAATCCAGACAGGAGAATTATAGGGTGACCGTAAAGGTCTAATTATGCCATCATCTAATAACTCTTTAATCTGTTTTTCAACTTCATCTTTAAGTGTTACTGGATATGCATAATATCTGGAGTAAACGGGATCATCCGCAGTAGTATAAGTCAATTCCTCATTTGGATCGGGATAACTTCTTACTAATTGACTAACTTTCTGTCTTTATTTTTGAGTTAAAATTTTGCCGTGTATGAATCACAGCTGAAAATTCTTATAAACTGTCATTACCCCAAACTCCGTGAAAAGATGTAAGGGTTGGCAGTAAAAATACTTTAACGTTTATGGTTTTTATATTAAATAAATTTATATGCGCATGGTGGGTAATCTCAGTTTTTCCACCTACTAAATTAGCAAAAAATATATTTTCATTGGGTAAGGGATTTTTTATGAGAGAGGGTTGGATATAATTTTTATTTGACCCAGTGTCAATTAAAAATCTAAGAACCTTATTATCGCTCGCCTGACACTTAAAATATGGCAAAGACGAGCTACTAATTCTAAAAAATGAACATCCGTAAGATCGGTGTACTCCTCAGGTATTTCACATGATTCACCTTCTGCGTAGTATTCGTTCAAAGATTGCTGGTACTCGCAGTCCGTACTTTGTAAAGTTTCTTTATTACAATTTTCATACGTGTCAATATTGTTACGAATTTCATCAGAGTAGCGACATAGAATGAAATGTTTAAATATTATTTAAACATTATGTCAATTGATATTTTTATAAAAGGTTAGTTTGGAAATTGTTTTGTGTGAAGCTGTGGTTTTACTAAATTGACTCCTAGTAAATACTAGTCTTTGTAATACAACAAATAAATAAGTATAGTTTCTCCAATTTTAAAAGTTCGTTTCATTTTTTACAAAATCCTGAGATTCGAATAATCACGCAGGCGATTACGTAACATTTGGTGTCAGAAGTGGGATTTTGTAAAATGATGAAATCGGAAGAATTGACTGTGGTTCAACTGAAAGAGCAGTTGGAGAAAGTGGGACTTGGCACAGGTGGTGCGAAAGCAGAACTGCAGTTGAGACTTTGTGAGGCGTTGGAGGCTAATGGCATATACGTAGAAGAACACGAGTTCCTCGATGAAGAACCTGACACGAATAATGAAATTATGGCAATCATGAACTTAATGATGCAGAAACTTGAGAAAAATTCTGAAGAACAGGCGCATAGTTTACGTAAGTTGGACAAAAAGCTGGAACAACAATTTAGTGAAATCACGCAGACATTAGGACAAAATTTTGTCGAATTAAAGATGGAGTTACAACAAGTCCAAATTAAGTGCTCGAGAAGAAAAGAAAGGACCCGAATGTCAGAATGTCCAGGTCTCAAAAGGTGAGACGGTTCAATTGGAAAGCCACGCTGAGAATAGGCAGGTAAGCGGGTCATCTTCAGCCATTCGTGAAACTGGTAGGGTTAAACTACAGGCACCGACGTTTGATGGGAGCTATACTTTTGAAGTGTTCAAACTCAAATTTGAAATAGCGGCTGCAACAAATAATTGGAATATTGGTGAGAAAACGGAATCACTGATTGTGGCACTAAAAGGTAGTGCGGAAGAATTTTTAAAACAAATTCCACCCGAACAACATAAAAACTACCAAGCTGTAATGGATACATTGGAGCGCAAGTACGGTAACGTTTCCATAGCTCCATTACACAGGGTAATACTGGAAGCATAGTCGGTTGTCGGTTGGCAACTCTAATAAAGTAAAGTATTAAAAGTTCTTTAGCGCGGGGTAATTTTTAAAATTTTTTGGTATAATAGTGATTAATTTGTGAGATCCGAAAATAAACTAACAGATATAAGTGTCATCTACCACGGTGCTATCGAGTTCAGTGCTTAAAGTGATTAAAACATTAAATGTTGTTTTCGATATAAAAGTAAGACTTCGCCAGGCAAAAACTACAGTTTCGTGTATAAACAAGCGTAAAGCATAAATATTCGCCTTTGTTATTATTTAAAACAAGCTTTCAATTTAAAACAGTGTTTCAAAGTAATTATTAAACTATTAAAAACTGAACGAATTTCATAAAGAACAGTATCTCAGAAAGGATTGGTGTCTTTATTTTACGTGATCTCGTTGTAAATTACCTAAAAGTAGGCAATAAATTAAATTAAAAAATTATAGTTAACAATAATTAATTTGTTTTAATAAAATATCAAAGACAATCAATTATGCCAAAAATGAATCGCACACCACCGAACGTTCCAGCAGGTGTAAGTGTACCAACAGGCTGCGGTGCGAAAAGAATGTTAAAGGAAACATCGCCTGAACAACAGGAAAGTATGGTAGTCAAAAATTCAGTGGGTAATATGCAGCTGTCAGATCTAATGAGTGTATTATCAAACCTATTAGATGATAAACTACAAAATGTGGCCACAAAAAAAGATCTGGAAGATATAAAAGCAAAGATGGGCAATATAAATCATAAAGTTGAAAATCTAGCTAAGGAGAATAGCGAACTCAAGAAGGAACTAGAGAAATTAAAGCGTGAGAGGGAACATGAGCAATTAGAAATAGACCGCCTTATAAGCCAAAGTAAAAGAAAAAATGTAATATTTAAAGGCTTTGAAAAAGCTAACAGTCCAAAAAAAGCAGTCGAAATGGTTTGTAATCATATATTAAAACTACCGGAGGTAAAAATCGCGTCAGCAAGAATTATCTACACAAGAAATGAAAGAATAAGCGTAGTGGCAGAAATGGGTGCTGAAGACATGGCAACAGAAGTTTTTAAAAGTGTCAAAAATTTATCAGGACATAAAATAACAATAGAGAGGGACTTAGATAAGAAAAGACTAGAATGCAAGAAAGCCCTACTGCAGTTGAAAGCGGATATCCTGAACGTAGACCGTAAGTACAAAGTATATGTAAAAAACGATGCAATCAAGATAGGCGAAAACTGGTGCACATTCAATAAGGAGTTCATCTTAATGTGTGGGGTTCAAAAGGCCGAAGACATCCTTAAGCATAAGTATGGTGATAATATTAAGAAATTTACTTTAGACTTTAAGAACCTATTAGAAAAGTCAAAAAACTAGAATATAAAATAAGTAAACAAATAAAAGAAATAGATAAGCATAGTTTAAGTATAGTATCGTATAATATCAACGGATTAGAAAATAAATTAATGTTTCCAGATTTTTTTAAATACATTAAGCGTTTTGATATACTCTTCTTGTTAGAAACCCATGTGAATGAAAATAAAGCAGAAAGTCTGAGTAAATATTTTGGCGGTTACAATTTAACATGGAAATATGCAACAAGAATTAATAATTATGGCAGATATAGTGGAGGTATACTGCTAGCAATAAAAAAGGAATTGGCAAACCTACGAATTAATTGTTATACTAAAATAATTCAGGAATGTCATGTAATATATATAAAATTCGGACACACTCAAATAAATATAGTACCTTTATACATAAGAAGCGCAATCTGGTCCGACGAATTTAGTAAACTGGAGACAATATTCATGGAAAATGAAATTAAAAATCTTATTGTGATTGGAGACCTGAATGTCAGAATTGGTAAAATGCAAAACTACTTGGAAGAGGAATATATAGCGAACTTTACGGCTGGATTCGAAGAAAGGAAATCTAAAGACGAAGTGGAAAACTCTCGTGGACATAGATTTATACATTTATGCTGTGACAACGGACTTGTAATACCGAATGGAATGACAAAAGGTGATGAGGAAGGAGAAATTACATTCTGTAGTGGAGTTGGAATGTCAGTAAATGATATCTGTGCAGTCTCCCTAGAAATACTTGAATTTATCGATAAGTTTGAAGTCGGAAACACACACTGGTCTGACCATTTTCCTATAGTCTTAACGTTAAGATTGACAGATATAGAAACGGTAAGAAAAAATACAAATTTACTTCCAAAATTGAAATGGAATAAACAGCAAGTAACAGCATATAAACAGCGAATAAGTGAAACCTTATTAAATGTAAAACAGAATAAAGATCTGCTAACTCTGACGGATATAACTTATGTAATTAAATCGGCGCATAAAGAAACACAAATTAGGGAACACTCCTTCGAGAAAAAACAAAATTGGTTTAACTGGAGATGTCATAAAGCGAGACAGGAAACATTCAAAAGCCTAGAAAAATTTAGACAAGTAAGTAGCAGCCAGAACAAAGAGTTTTACTTAAAAGATAATAAGCACTATAAAGTTATATGTGCAGAAGCCAAACAGAGATACTACCAACAATTGGATGCTAAGATACAAAATGTAAAGACAAACAAAGACTGGTGGAAAATTGCAAGAGAAATAAATGGAAATACAAGTTCAACGATTACAATGGAGGCAGAAATGCTGAAATTATACTTTAGTAATTTACTAAACCCATCACGGACATCATTAGATATACAATATGCTCACGGTTATATGGAAGTTTATGAGCTAGACAAAACCATAACACTAAGAGAAGTGAAAGAGTTTGTTGAGCGAACAAAAAATTACAAAGCTCCGGGAGAAGACAGAATACCATACGAATTCATTAAATATGCATCTGATGACCTCCTATCAGAGATAACAATAGCTTGTAATGACATGTTTAACAGCGGTATAGTTGATGAATCGTTTGTGAAAAGCATAATATACCCCATACATAAGAAAGGTCATGTAGGATTACCGTGCAACTATCGCGGAGTATCGTTTATGAATTGTATTGCAAAAATTATGATGGGTGTAGTAACAGACAGGCTAACAAATTGGACCGAAAGTAATAGAATAATAAACGAATTTCAGGCTGGGTTCCGGAAAAATTATTTTACAGTGGATAATATTTACAACTTGTCATCAATAGTACAGATAAATTTTAAAAACAATAAGAAAACGTATGCCTTTTTTGTAGATTTTAAAGCAGCCTTCGATAAGGTCTCTCGAAAGGCGTTAATTTATAAGCTTCACGCAGCTGGAGTCTCAACTAAAATGGTCCGTTTTATTGAAAATGTGTACTCGAACACTAAATGTGCAGTATGGACTGGAAAAGACCTATCTAATGAATTCTCAGCTGTAAGCGGAGTGAAACAAGGTTGTATATTATCACCGCACTTGTTTGTGCTTTATCTCAATGACTTACATGATTTTTTGGGAGGAGGCATACAGATAGAAGAACTAAACATTCGAACTTTAATGTATGCCGACGACATTGTGATACTGGCTGACGATATAACGACGCTGCAAAAAATGATTTATAAGTTGGAATCATACTGCCATAGTTGGAATTTAGAAATCAATCTAAGTCCGCAATTATGGTTTTTCGAAAAGGAGGTAGATTGGCAAATAAAGAAAAATGGTATCTCGGTGGAGAAGAAATAAGAATAGTGAATGAATACTGCTATCTAGGCGTGACATTGACTCCAACAATGAACTTTAGGAAGCATGTAGAGAGGAGAACTATTGCAGCTAAAAATAGTATAAATCTTACGTGGAACAACTTTCTTAGTAGGAACGGCATACCTATAAAAGCAAAATGGAATCTATTTCTAGCAATAAGTAGAGCAATACAATCATATGGTGCTCAAGTATGGGGTTGTACTCTGTTCGAAGAGGTGGATAAACTACAATTATACTTCTTAAAGAAAATATTGAGAATGCCACAATTTACGCCAACATATATTTTAATGTTAGAGACTGGGGCGGAAGATGGACATTTATATACCTTAAAATTGCACCTCAATTACATTTTCAGAACCATGTATATACAAGGTGAAATGAAAAAACTGCAACAAAGTAAAACGCCATAATTTTTTCATTTTTTTTAAATTTTATTGAATGAAAGCAAAAAATG